CTGCCTATGTATGTACAATATGTGTCACGTTTAGTGCCATAAAGCACAAAATGCACCAACGTTGGTATTGCTCATCCATTTGATATGTATGCATCATGCTAGACTGTAAATTGTTGCTTGATTAAACGATTGATCTGAATTTGATTTCTTCCATTTGATACTGTTTATTTCGCCAGTTGCTTTGTAATAATTATTATTATTATTATTATTATTATTATTATGTTATTTATATAGCGCTGTACAATGGGTGGACGAACAGACATGTAGTTGTGACCAGACAAGTTGGACACACAGGAACAGAGGGGTTGAGGGCCCTGCTCAATGAGCTTACATGCTAGAGGGAGTGGGGTAAAATGACACAAAAAGGTAAGGATAGTATTAGACTAATGACAGTTGCAGAAGAGGAATCAGTCGGGAACTATTAACAGTTTAATTGATACCCCTTTATGAAGAAGTGGGTTTTTAACGATGTTTTGAAGGAGTGGAGACTGGGTGACCATATAACAGAGGAGGGAAGCGAATTCCATCAAAAGGTGCATCCCTCGAGAAATCTTGAAGGCGACCATCAGATGTGGGAGTATGGACAGAAGATAGACGTAAGTCTTCAGTAGATCATAAGGGCCTAGATGGGACATACTTGTGTATAAGGGAGGATAGATAGCATTATGTAGAGATTTGAAACCAAAAACCAGAATTTTAAATTGAGCTCTATATTTTATAGGAGGCCAATGTAGGGAATGACAGAAGGGTGAGGCATGGGAGGTGCGGGCGGACAGGAAGATGAGCCTCGCCCCTGCATTCTTTATGGACTGTAATGGTGCAAGTTGGGAGCATGTAAGACCACTGAGAAGCGGATTACAGTAATCAAGGCAAGAAAGGACAGTGGAATGGACCAGCACCTTAGTTGCATCTGGCGTTAAGTAGGGGCGGATGCGCGCAATGTTTTTGAGATGGAAATGACAGGATTTGGCGATAGACTGAACATGAGGCTTGAAGGAGAGGTTGGAGTCAAAGAGAACACCTAGGCAGCGAGCCTGTGTGGTGGAGCTGATGGCAGCCCCGTTGACTTGGAGTAACAACACTTGAGGGAGGAAAGACCAGAATTTCAGTTTTGGTCAAGTTTAGTTTAAGGAAGTGGGCAGCCATCCAGTTAGAAACAGCAGAGAGACACTAGTCAAGAGGGACGGGGAGAGATCAGGAGAGGACAGATAGATTTGTGTCATCTGCATAGAAATGATATTGGAAGCCAAAGGAGCTAATGAGTTTACCAAGGGAGGCAGTATAGATGGAGAACAGTAGGGGACCAATGACTGAACCTTGGGGGACACAAACAGAGAGGAGTTGGGGAGAAGAAGCAGAGCCAGATAAAGAAACACTGAAAGAGCGCTGGGAGAGGTAGGAGGCGCACCAGGAGAGAGCAATATCTTGTAGACTGATATTGTGGAGGATGAGGAGAAGAAGCTGTTGATGATCAACAGTGTCAAAAGCTGCAGACCGGTGAAGGAGAATTAGGATAGAGTAGTGACCACGAGATTCAGCGAGTAGATCATTGGATACTTTGGTCAGTGCTGTTTCCACAGAGTGCTTAGCGAGGAAACCAGACTGAAGCGGATCTAGCAGAAAGTTGGACTTGAGGAAGTCTGTCAATCTCTCATACACAGTTCTTTCAAGGATCTTGAATGCAAAAGGCAGTAGCGAGATAGGATGATAGTTGGATGGGGAGTTAGGGGCAAGGTTGGGCTTCTTTAGAATTGCATGTTTGAAGGGTGAGGGAAATATACCAGAGGAGAGAGATTGAGAATTTTAGTGAGAGGTGGAGAAAGAGAAGACAGAGTATGGATGAGATGCAAGGGAATTGGATCTAGGGAGCAGGTGGTGGGGCGGGAGGACTGGAGCAGAGCAGAAACCTCTTCTAATGTAGTGGGTGCGAATGAACATAAAACAGCAGAGGGGTTGAGTGTTGAGTTTGGCAGGTCTGTTTGGCAGGTAGAATGGCGATCCATAGACATTACAGTTCACCTGATATCTTAACGTCACCTGAAAGCATTGAAAACTGAAGCCCAATATCTCATGACTGTGATTGCCTCCATCTTTACATGAAAACACCAACATAGTCTGAAGCCCAGTTAGAGATTCCACTTTGGCAGAGTCAACACATAACAGAAAACCAATTGGAGTGGCTTCTAACACAGGAGTTTCTTCTAGAATTGGCTCAGAATGCTCGTCGATATTGTATCAAACTATATTGAAAAACAATGTGACGTTCTTCATCTGATGACTGAATAACAATGGATATCTATCCAAAACCTGTGAGTGCAATACAATATTTTCTTATTGTGTGCAATTTATTCAGTCAATTTATACAGATATAAGTGTTTAAATTCAGTCTGATAGAATTGGAAACCTGTAACGTATCTTCTACTTATGCAGAGATCCTAACTGCTATGATTAATTGCTAAATTTGCAAAGTACCCAAAACAAGAACACCATATATAAAATATATAAAATATTAATACATAATAATCATCATCATCACCATCTTTGTGGTCATGACTAGGTGACACAGGCTTGATTTGCTCAGAGTCAAAGCCTTACTTTTCTATTATATCATTTGACCTTTTTTTCCACTACTTTCCTCTAAAGGGGATTGAGATTTATATCCAGAAAGGAATGTGACAGTTCGATCTCGCTCCACAATAAGAAACATTCATAGGCAGGAGAGGCATGGTCTGCCTGTAAACTGTGTACGGATAGTCACATATCCAAGTCAGTAGCAAAGATTCCAGCATAAAATGTTCCAACTGGATGTGGCTTGACCGCCAAATTAATGGCCGCTTGAATTTTTGCTCCTCGAAATCCCACAACAAAAACAAGGTTATTGCCCCACAAGTAGCAGCACCAGGGGGTGTTGAGGGGGCAGAGCACTAAAACCGTTGACCAGGATCCTTCAAACGCAGAAAATACGCTACGGGCGGCAGATACCAACAGGACTGCTGGTTTTCACCTAATCTGGCTCATTCTCCGTCCACACACATGGTGATTTTGTGGACCTGGACCGCGACCTACAATTGCCTGCAATTAAGATGTGCTGGACTGATCCACTGAATTTTTATGCTCAACCTCAGCCACCTTACCCGAGGCCCGCATTGCCACTAAGACACCGTTGGGAACATCAGGAGGCTACCCACCCTTCGAGCGCATCTCACTAAGCCACCCTCTCTGACCGCAAGCTCCCAGCATATACTTGGTTAACACAACGTACCTCTGAGACCTTTTTTATTATTATCTGCCTATACCGCCTATACCGCTATCACGTCCATAGTTCCTGATTTTATTTTGCATGGGCTTCCCTGATCTCCTATTGAGTACCTCCACAAGCACAGTGGCACATACCATACCCTTGCACCTGGGATGCATCATCCCCTACTGATCTACTCGGAATTCAAAAGTCCGACATAACCCCAGCTACTGTGACCTGTCTCTGCAGTTTTTAAGATTTTTTTTTCCCCCTGCCTTTATTTCCGGATCTCTCATTGGCCAACACTGTGACCGACACTGAAGGCTTACCTACACCACGGCCACGTACATATTACCTAATTTGTACTTTGCCTCACCTATTCTAATCCCCGACCAATTATCTCTACAACCGCAGCTGCATGTTTTTTCCCTTTTGCATCTGGGTCTCAAAGCTGAACAACTTGCACGGTCGCTCATTGCCGACAGGTGAGAGCCTGGCCAAACACGACCACACTGCTGCCATGGGGGGAGAGAGGAAAGAGAATGCCCCTTCAATAACCCCAGGTACAAACTGGATCACTTTCCCCCCTCTCTTTTATTTTTATTTTTTTTCCTCCTTTCTCTCCGCCTGATTCCACACAACATGAACGTTGTCCCACACCTTGAGTGAGCCAAGTACGATATGGGGAAGGAAACCTGAATTGCCCCCATGCTACGAAACATCTCTCCCTGGTGTTGCACTTCCAAGACTCCAAAGGCAGTCCTAGAGCTGATGAGTATTTTGACATGACGAACTGCTTCATCAGGGAGAGGTTTATTAATGCAATACTTTGTTGATGGGGGGAGGGCCTGATCCTCGGGAGGGGGCAGGGGGACTATCATACACACGCACCCCACGGTCACCACAAGACTCCACCGTGTAGCCGGTAGGGGGGAGGGATTGTCATAAAACAAAATGTGATCCCCCGATGGACACTCTGTAACCGAGAGACCATCCTCCCTCAGGTGGCGACACACCCCTACCTGGTCTGTGTCTTAACCTACATGCACACCCACATGGGGGAATACAGGGGATCGGGGCTCACCACATGGTTCTGTCACATGGGGAATGCTGCATAACCGAGTGTAAGACTCAGTGTGATCTGTTTAAAAACTGTAGGTTCTATGTTCTTTTTATCTCCTCTCTATCCCCTCTCTCTTTGGGCAGCCGGGAGTATCCACGTCACATACATGCTCACAGATGCTGGGGGTCCAGATGCCACTCTCATATCCATACACATCTAAGTTTAGAAGATGCAGGTTTGACGTACCCAGCTCTACCTGTCACAGCACATAAGACAATGGCCCAGACACATATGGCCAGCCTAATATTAGGCTAATGTTGGTCAGACGGGGAGAACTTCCTATGCCACCCTTAACCACCCAGCTCTCCCACTCAAAAAACACATGTGCCACACAGCACCAACTCACTTATCCCCTTGACCTAAACACTTAAGCAGAGGAAACTAATTGTAGGCAATCTCCAGGCTGCTTTCATAGTTTCTAACTTAGACAAGTCGAGGTTCCAAGGATGCCGTCCAGGGTTTGTGACCAGGAAGAAGACTTACTCTGTTCATGTCGCAATCCTGTCGCATACTGGGACATCCTTACAACATTCCAATACTTTGAATACTTTGTGTTGTGATAAATGTTCTAATTGCCTTGTTACTTACTATCTTTTAGCGCGGTACCAACCACAACTGTCTCTACTTCCAATAACTTGCCCTGTATCTGTGGAGGAAGGATGACACACTTTTCTCCTTGGTCTGCACACTGCCGCTGGGGCAGGGTTATCCCCTACCGTGCCGCTCACTTGCCAATTCTGCCTTGTTCTGCAGGTACTCGGTCACTACTTTCCTTGTGTGCTGTAGAGATACTCGGAGGGGTTGGGTCCATAGAGAGCCAGCAGCCCCTTCAACATATTGTCGAACTCTGCCTCACTGTAGCTGGGTGCCATGCTTGTTCGATTAACGAATGCTGGTTCAGTTCGGCTAGGAAGTACCATGCCACCGCTGCCACCAGATGTAGTGGACCACAGGTAACCAGAATGGTTACTTCCGCTATTACCTTCCTTCAGCCACTCTGGAACCATCAGCACAAGTAAATACCCATTCCCCCAGTAACCAGATGAAACATAGTCCTGGGAGTCAACTGAGGTTTATTGAAACACACACAGCTTTTATGCACAGACCCCGTCATGGGGTCTCCAATGCAATAATACAGGGCTTTTCCTCCCAGGATCCTCTACGGAAAAATATACAATATTCTAAAACACTCCAAAAATACATTTTCAAAAGGGGCTAATTTGATTGCATCCAAATTCCTCCAAATTCTTCTAAATTCCTCTTTGAGGCTGGGACCCCAACTGAGCTGCTCTGTAAGGTGTGAGAAGTCACACATAAGTGGCCTGGAAGTCTGGTTTAAATATAAACTAAATCTCTAGTTTGCCATATGTCTAGATTCCTTCTTAGATAGGGGGTCCTTTGATATGTCAATAGCCATGTGTTCCAATATCATATTCAAAAGAGACATTAATGCCTACCCACAGATTAATACTCAAGCCTCATTTTTATCATATTTAGAATGGGACAAGCACAATATTCTAATCAAGCCTAAACATGATTTGCGAACAAGGGGACACCACAAACAACACATTGTTAAATAGTCCTGATCTGAGTGCCCAAGTTTTCCAAAGAGCGCTCAGATCCATGCAGTGTAGTTAGGTCCTCTATCCTGCTACATATATAATAACTCCCAAATGGTGTCTCAGACCACGACGATAGTCGGTGGGCAGGAGGCCAGCTTCTACACTCCTCCAGGAGTCCGTGGCAAACGTACGTGGGAAGGAGCATTTGTCACCGATAAAACAAATAATTTATCTCCAGTACCTCTAATTTCTTTTTGTAGAACAAGTAGAGATTTGCATTTATTTTTGTGGTTTTTGCTGTTTTCGTTATTTTTTTTCCAGCTTGCCTATACATCAAGCATTAACCATTTACTCGTTGTTCAGTGCTCAGTTTCAGCTACTAAAAGGGTTAAAATCCTGCCTGGCATTTCTCGGTGGTATGTTGTGTATTTTCAGTCAAACTCTTCCAAAACCACTGAATGAGCCCGTGCTTGTTAAAATTACAAAGAGCTAATTATTCTGTAGAGTTCTCGGACAGTTTCTTTTCTCTCTGTGAAGTGGCTCCACTCCAGCCTGAATCAGGCTGCCTATTTTGTCTGTGAATTAAAAATAGATGGATGTAAAGCAGACAATGCCCAGCAGACTGTGCCTCGCCTCAGGGACTTTTTGAACAGATTATCGATGTGCTTTGTTTTAACTGTCAGGGGAACCTTGAGCTTGTGTATTGTACATGCGCTTAAGCAAAGCTGAAGTTAAATCTCTGAACCTCTTATTACATTCATACCTAGCATTGAAACACTGGTGAATCAGTGACCCATAAATGTTTACCATCGTCTTTTAATGGGATAAGGAACATGAAATTACGGAAAAAGTGGACCTTGACCAATAGGGATGTTACTGGAAAAAAGTGGCCACTGCATTAAGCTGATTACAATATCATGTTCTTAAACCATTCCTGGACACCCCAAGTCCTAGTGACATGGGACATTATCCATTTGAAGACATTTGACAGCAGATGGAGACAGTGCTCCCAAGAACGCAACTGATTGTACATGATGTCATCTATAGCCTTCATCAACTTTATCTTTACTCTTCCCGTTGCAGATATTTTTTCATCCTGAAATGTATCCTAGTTATTTGTGGCATTCTTGGTGCCCTTTGTATTTTTTCTGGGGCATGTTTCACCATTACTGTGTGTTACATACACAATATTTTAAAAACTTGTGTACATCAAAAAAATGGTTAGAAATTTGGTTGACAACTCTTCAGTTCAATTTCAAAATTTGGTTTTGTGTAAAAAACTTTGATTCGTTCCAAATATTGCAGTGAAGGAAAAGAGGTGCATATAGTGTCCTTTCAATAAAAAAACAACAACTTTTAAACTGTAAATTAGTGATTCAAAGTTGGTGTTAAGTGGCAGACGCTACTAGGTGTGTACACAGTGAACATTTTTTTGAATATTCCATACAGATAAGGTTTAGATTTCCAAACTTTTTCAGTTCTGAAAAAATGTAAATTGAATTTTGATTAGAAATGGTAATATTCAGAATTATACCGAAGCAAACAAATTTTGTCCGAATCTTTTTTTTTCAGACTGGTTATGTCACTAAATATTGTTTATGTCTTCCCCTAATTTCTTGTCTCTGTGAAAACATCTGCTGTCCAGATACAATAAATTCATTTTCTTTGACACCTGTATGTAATCATTGTTGTGATAATAGATATGACTCTAATTCCCTCAACATGATTGTCTTAAGTAATCTTTCTCCTTACTAATCTAACTATCTCTTAATTACCCTTTCACAGCGAACCTAATCTCCATTTTAGTTTCCAGACCCAATTAACTTCTATCAACAATCTGTTTCCTCCAAGTTACTTAATTTTCTTTAGTTCTCAATCAGGCAAAAATATTTTCTGTTATCTTTTTTGTGTGCAAATTTATTATTGCAAGGCTGTGGCACGTAAATAAACTTGGACTGCATTGGGCAGGAGCACTGCAGGTTGGCTTAGAACGGTCAGATGGCAATCTAAGCAAAACAGTAGCACCTTATGCATAAAAACAGCTTGAAAAAAATATTCACTACTAAGAACTGAGCGATCTGAAATGCGTAAGGATTCTCCTGACTCCCCCCACCTCAATGTGTGAATAACTGTTTTTGCATGTTATGGTTTTGACAAGATTTTATTATTATTATTTTATTATTTTATGTTCCATTTAGTAGGTGTTACAATGCATGTCTCTGTATGCCTGATTCTAGTCCCTATCAAAGAAAACACTGCCAAATACAATGAAGTCTTCTTTTGGAGTTCCAGTCCATATCACCGATATGAAATGTATTAATTATGCATTTATATCAGGGAAAGTGGCTGAACACACCTGCATGGTTCAATCTAAATGTCCCTTCCCTTTCCCATACTCAGAGAGGTTGCAAAGTCGCGGACCAATAAATATTATAGTTTGGAGATAGCTCTTTGTTGGAATGAAAGCAGTCCAGATATTTGACATTATCGAAAAGTACCTGTGAATACACAGGGCCATGACGAGATTGATTAACCATAAGGTGATTAACCATAGTTGCCTAGGGCCCTGGGGTAAGATGGGACCCCAGAACCATGAATTGGCCTTTCCCCATTAACCATCAATATGTGACCATTGAAGGGAGTCCCCCAAATGGGCAACCTGTCTAGGGCACCATTGAATCTTAATCTCTCTCTGGTGCTACAGACAGTCAGATGGCCTCTGGTTAATATATACTCCACAATCAGGCACATGAATTTGATGTTGATGAACATATATCATTTAGATTAACATAAAAAATTGAAGTGACCATTGTGCTAACTAAAATACCCAAAAGAAGAAAGCATATATTAATAAATGAAAGTCTGCAAAGTTGTTGGATTTTCAAAGCAGACTATTATTTTTAGTAGGATTTAGTAGTATTAGTGCAGCAGGCCATAGATTGAATTAATTGCCTGGTGATTATCAGGAACTCATCTACAATATAGATAATCTGCACAGATTAAAACATTCTCAATGAGGCACTAAAATAAAAAAATACTCATCCCCTAAATCCGATTATATTTTATCAAATTTTTGAAAGGCAAACTTAGCTTTAGTAAGCAATATATCAAATGGGTATAATTATGTAGTATGGTACAATTATTATATTTCTGGAATGATGAAGGAAACATATCTAATTCCCCTTGGAGAAACACAAACGTAAAATAAAAAAAGTGTCACTTGGGCTCTGCTCTAATAATGCCAGATGGTTTAAACGTTGATTAAGATAAGAGGGTCTGTAATGGTGTGTACAAGCAGTTCCTTGAGGAAATGGTTAATTTGCAGAACTGCTGCAATGTAGCTAATGATTACCTGCTGTAGCAGTTATTGGAGCTTCAAAGAGTCACACCTACACAGGTGCAGGAGGTTCATTTTGTGAATCTCATTCAGGACAGTGGCAGCTCTCTGGATCTGGGGCTTATGTTTCAAATCTTTAATTGTCTTTTATGTCTAGTGATAACTGGATAGCAGTGAGATTGTCGTTCTAATTCCAGTTACTGTGTATATTATTATTATTATTATTGCCATTTATATAGCGCCAACAGATTCCGTAGCGCTTTACAATATTGTGAGAGGGGGGATTTAAGTATAAATAGGACAATTACAGAAAAACTTACAGGAACGATAGGTTGAAGAGGACCCTGTTCAAATGAGCTTACAGTCTATAGGTGACAGAGTTGTTGAATTTGCTTTATATACTTAAAAAGCAGTGTCCCGTAACCCCATGGCATGAGGAAATAAAGGAACTACAGAAAATACTAATCCTCCTGGTGTTTCAGCCAACAACATCCACTTCATTACAGGGTCCAGGTACTTTCATGACACATATAATTACCAATCTCTAAACGTTGCAGTCATGAGTCATACTTGCGGGATCTACTTACACAAGTTACACACAGAGATACAGTGAGGGAATTTACAAAGTTCAGAAAACAAACTTTTGAGTCCACAAGCCACTATCTTTAAATATTATATTTATATTACGAGATGAGGCATCTGAAACATCTTCCAGTTACATTAGAAGCACCGGCACGGAAAGCAGAGCAATGAATATGGATTATTACCAAAACTGTTTGCTGTATTGTTTGTCATAGAAATATCAAAATGGATTGATTGTTAGTAACATATTCAGATCACAACTCCATGTGAAGTGGCACAGAGAAGTATTACTAAATACCCCAATTAGGCTACAGAATATTTTTCTACAGCTTTGGAAATCTATCTGCCTCTCCAGTCATCCATCCATCCATCCATCCATCCACCCATCCATTCATGAAGTTCCTCTTTTTCTTAGACAAAGAAAACCCAAGAAAATGCAAAATTCCGTTTTTACATTTTAATTTAAGAAAAAAAAGCTACACTACTTACCCTTGTTTGTAAACTAATTACCCCATTAGTTACTCAGCCAACTTGCTAACCAAATGTAATTAATCATTGGTTTCAAATAGAGCAAACGCGATCAGGCTTGATCGCTGTCAACCCCTTTGAATGTAAACATTGTATAGAACTTAACAAGTAGCACAGTATGTCTACATCAAAAGATAATCTGGAAGTTAATACATCACACTGGAATAGGTTAAAAAGCTATTTCTTCATATTTTGAATTGTAGCAAACCACAGTAAGAGCCATAATCTCTAAATGAAGATAACATGAAATGTGGTGAATGTTTCTAGGAGTGACCAACCTACCAAAATACACCAATGGTGCATCAATGATTCATCAAGAAAGTCAAAAAGATACAGGACAACATCTACTGAAGTTCAGCTTTCTATCCTCAGCTAGAGTCAGTGTTAATGACTGAACAGTAAAAAAGTGACCAGTTGGAAACGGGATTTGTGGAAGGATTTCAATGTGCAAACCATTGCTAACTAAGAGGAACATTTAGCTCATCTCATGTTTACAAAAAATGCCATTGGCGAACCCCAAGCATTTTAGGATAATGCTCAGAGAACACATGAGTCAAAAGTGGAGATTTTTTTAAAACCGTCCTGTTATGTCAGGTCACAATAGGAACGTCATATACTAATAGTAAATCCTGGTGGTGGAAGAATGTTAGTGTACGGATACGTTGCTGCCTTAGGGCCTGAAAGGATTGACATTATCGAAGGAACCATAAACTTGGCTTTTTACCAGAAAAATATTATGGATAATGTCTAGACATCATTCCATGATCTGAAGATGGAGCATAATTATGTGATAAAACAGTACAATGTATCAAAACACAAGAGTAAGTCCACCTCGGAATGGTACAACATAAAGAAAATATACATTTTAGAGTGGCCCAGCTAAAGTCCTGACTTCAGCTCCATTGAGATGCTGTGGCAGGACCTTAAACCAACTGTTTATTTTCAAAACCCCCATGGCAATAGATTACAGCAATCCTTTCAAACAAATTCCTCAACATCAATGTAAAGAAGTAGTGCAGTCCATTCCTTGTTGGATAGCAGATTTACTAAAATAAATAAAATTAGCATTATAAAAATGAATTCTGTTTCTGCACTATAATGCTACATAATAGCTATGTCTGTTTGAATAAAACATTTGCAATCTTCTGTTTACTAAGGTTCGTTCAATGTTCACATAAAATCGTCCTCTGCATAGAATTCTTTTTGTGTACATTCTAAAACCATTTGAATTTATTTCCAAAACATAATCTTAGCTTCTATCAGCTGGGGCAAGTGATAAATTAAAGGTGGGGTCAAGGGACAATAGCCCTAATGCCTATACTGTAAATCAGTGGGCTTTTAAGGCCCTATCTTCTAAGCTTTTAATCAGCCCCACATCCTCTCACCTGCGGTCAACCTTTAGGCTTCCGTGCCCTTCCAATCATCAATCTTAATTATTGGAAAGACAACCATCCCCTTAAGAGTTTACATAAAGCACCTTTTATTTTGTTTTTCCTATTTCATAATTTTAAGTGAACAGGTCACCTATCACCTTCACAATTACCTTCTGTTTTGAAAAGTACTCCTCTTAGCAAGCACCCTTTAAGCTTTTATCGTAATCTATATGCTATGACCTTTCTAAGTACTTTGGGCCTTAAATCTTGCACAGACACCATATTTCTCTGTCTTGAAAATGTTGATATGACCTCTGGAAGCACCGTGTTCTATGTATCCAGTCTCCTTGGTTAATTGAGTGGTTTAAAACATATCAATGCTATCTTGTAACTAATCTTGCAGAATCTGCCTTCAAAAGAATTCTGGAGTCATGCTAAAAAATGTCCTTCCCCTCACATCTTTGGAGTCTGAGATGATTATTATATTTTAATTACAGTGGAACCAATTTGTCCATGCACAATTATTTAACTGTGAACACAAGCTAGTTCTTGCCCGATGCATTCCAGTTCAGCCTTAGGATCCCCGCTCACTGCTTTAGAAAAATAAAACTGGCAGTATAGGTGTAAAAAATGCTTAGTTACGCTTGAAATTTATATGGCGAAACCATAATATGCTGCAAGATTAAAAATGATTGTTTTTCATTGGTTGTCAAGCGATTTCACAAATTATACTTAAAGGAGAGCTGTCACAGTTCTGCAAATTAGACCACTGAATAAAATCTTGATAATCACCTATAACTTGTGTTAACCTTGTTTTCTTGTGATTTTATGTTTTCTTCTAAATGTATACTGTATGTTTAGCAGTTGACATGACAATTTAGTTCAGTTCTGGACATTCAGTGCACCAATAGCAGTTTTTTCTTCTTTCTCTATCCTCTCTTTAAGGGGGCTTTCAGGAGTAAAGGGCAGGGAGCTAAAATGAAGTCGCTCAGTTCCAGGACAGAGGTGAATATAGCCCCATGGCTTTCTGCATTTAATTACATTTTTCACAACTCCCAGCACACATTCATTAAATACAGGGAATAGATAAATGCAGTATTAAAGACCCTGAGCAATGAAGGGTCCCTATTAAAATGCTGATAAGGAAGGGTATTTATGTTTTGTAAATCTTTTTGGATTTTGTAAATCTTTTTGGATTTTTAATCATAAAGTGTGTGAACAAAGCAAACATTACACTGGCTTTAATTCTTTTTTTTTTCTGGACATACAATTATATAAAAACATACCATAATAGACCTAGACTACATCAAAAAAGGAAAAAAAATAAATAACAATTAGCGGATCATGTGGAAACGCGAGCAATAAGGAGTTGAGTATAGCATATTATTTTATTGTACGGGGGACTATTTCTTTGTATTTTACCTCTTTATGGGAGAACTTTGACTTTGTGTTATAAGCTATGGCTTCAGATGTTTATTGGGTTAATCTTTATCTAATCTCTAACCAATTATTCCAGAAATTAAATTCTATCCTATTCCAGTAATATTGACTTATCACCCCCCTTTCCATAGAACATTGTGTAAGAATCTGAGTTTTAATTTCAAGCCAGGTTGCTACTTTGGTTGACAACCAGTTTCTTGTTAATAATAATTTGGTTGCTGACAAGATATCTAAAATTTTATAACATGACAGGAGGCGAATATTTGCTTAAGTCTCTCTTTACTAGAACTCCACAGCAGCACACTAACATATAGATAAAAACACCAGAGACAAAAAAATCAGGAATCTATAAAAGGCTCCTCCCAACTAACTATTTCCTCTTTCTTTGCTGCTCCGCAGTCAGTACAGGTCAGAGTACCACTGCCTCCTGTTATTTGGATGGCTGTGGATTATTTGGTGAATTTATTCTGTATTTGTGCAGTATTTGTTCTGTTTTTATGCTGTATTTATGAAGTGTTTGCTCTGTATTTATGCTGTAGTTATGCAGTATTTATTCTGTATTTGTGCAGTATTTGTTCTGTTTTTATGCTGTATTTATGAAGTGTTTGCTCTGTATTTATGCTGTAGTTATGCAGTATTTATTCTGTATTTGTGCAGTATTTGTTCTGTATTTATGCTGTAATTATGCTATAGCTTCTGTATTTTATTAGATTGATTTACTTACTTGTTCTGTGGACAGGTGTTTGCTTCTTTTTCTGTATCCCTGCATCGGGATTTCTCTCATCTGCCCACCTCGGGCCGTTATTTTTCCCTTCTGCTTTCCCCTTCACACTCACCCGTCTGCGGTCGCCGAGAAGCGGTCCTCCGACCGCTTCCCGTTGCCGACCAACGGGACCGCGGAGTAAGACTTCCGCCGAGTGTGAATCCACTTCTCCCCCCACCTCCGTCGCCCGCCCCTCGCTCCAGCTCATGGTATAATTTATCTCCCCGCAGCTGGGGCAGCGCGGGCGGGAGTGAGACGGTTCTCCTCACCATGTGGGAGGTACTGCTCTCTTCCTCCGGTCACTCGCCCTCCCGTGGTCGTGTGGGCGGGGTGCCGACTCGCTGGCCACTGTTGTGCCGTTTTTTTTTATTCTTAAAGGCACAGCCTGATGTATATGAAGATGTGCTCTCCAATCTGGGGGACTGGGTTATAGCCCAGTGGGATCATACCTTGCGGGTTGTGTGTGTCTTAGCTTTTTCTGGGTCCATGATACCCTGTTTCAGTTCCAGTCATTCTGGTTTTGCCTTGTATGTGCTTCATGCTAGGCTTTGTATCAGTTACATTATAGTCCATGGGGTCTGCCCTGCTAGACTTACTATCTCTTATATTATAATCCATGGAGAGCTGAATGGCTCAGGTCTAGGTCTGCCCTGCTAGACTTGGTATCTCTTATATTATAATGCATGGAGAGTTGAATGGCTCAGGTCTAGGGTCTGCCCTGCTAGACTTGGTATATTTTATATTATAATCCACAGAGAGCTGAAGGGCTCAGGTCTAGGGTCTTCCCTGCTAGACGTGGTATCTTTATATTATAACCCATGGAGAGGTGAATGGCTCAGGTCTAGGAGACGCCCTGCTAGGCTTGGTGCCTTTTACATTATAATCCATGGAGAGCGGACTGACTCAGGTCTAAGGGCTGACCAGCTTGGTTTTGGGATAATTTACATTATAATCTGCTCGGTGACTGGTCTATGGCATTTTCTATGACCCTGCTACTACTCAACTCCTGCAGGGTTCTCCTCATACACTCAGCATGGGATCTGCTAGCGCTGACTGGCTGGCTTCGGCTATTTTACATAATTTGGCCTGCATTGTCTGTGTCCCATTGATTGGCCTGCTTTGTCTGTGCCCCATTGATTGGCCTGTTTTGTCTGTGCCCCATTGATCTGGCCTGCGTTGTCTGTGCCAGGATGTCTGCATGCCAAGCCTTGCTGCTACATACTCGTGCTTGGGCATTACATGCGCTGCCAAACTTGCCTCTGTCACTATAGGCAGCGACCACCTTTTTTATAAAAAGGCAGGCGACTTGAATGAGTCAGATGCTCCTGTATGAGAGCAGGCAAGTGCGCATAAGCGCTACGGGAAGGGTGAAGACCCTGGACCAGGCGCCCGGAAAGATAAGACTCCGGAGAAGCATCTTACCCCGATGCAATCGGCCTCGACAGACAGACGCCACTGCCGGTATGGCGCAGGGGAGGCGACGACCACCGCACGCGGCAGTGACCACCATTTTAAAGAGGCAGATGCCTTGAATGAGTCAGACTCTCCTTGAGGAGAGCAGGCAAGTGCGCTTCAGCCCTGAACTAGGCGCCCGGAAAGATTAGGCTCCGGAGAAGCCTCTAGCCCCGATACGACCAGCCTTGATGGTCAGACGACACTGCGTAGGTGGCACAACGGTGAAGATCCCCGTAACCCCCCCTCCTACCATGGCCACCCTAGCTGAATGGCCGGCGGACCGGTCGTATTCAGAGCGAGAGGACGATGGGGTTGTGGGCTATGAAGACGTCCCCTAGTGACACCACGTGACTGAGAACAAAGCCCACTTCAGGGGTGCCGATGGCCGCGGAAGAAGAGGTCGGCTCGCGATCACCTTAAACCAACCCCTGTTCGACCCTCGATCCATTGCCCACCTGTTTTCTTTGGAATAACCTCTGCCTGACCACCTAGCACCATCGGTGCGTTTCTGGGTCCGTAGACCACTTTCTTGAGAAGCCTGCAGGAGACTTCGAATGGTATACCCAGCCGGGCTCCCGAACAAGGTAGCCTCGAACCAGACTTAGACCCTGATGGGGCGTTGTGGCTTTACTGGTTAGAGCGCCTGCATAGTATACAGGAGATCCTGAGTGCGGCCTGCTGCAGTGTCTACACTCTACTTTTAAGTCTGCAATGGCTAGCCGATTGTTCTTCTCTACACGAGGGAATTGTGCTAGTGGAACATACAAGGAAGTATAATAGGGGTCCAGTTTTTTAGATGGGAAAACTTAAGGGAGGCATATCTCAAGCTCCAACCCACACCCTTTATAGGAGATCGGACCCTTGGCCCCGGAATTTCACATTTGCCTCTACTTTTGGATGACATACCAGACGGGACCCCCGAGTCTGGGGATTGCAGACCGCCCTAGCTTAAACGCAATTTGGACTGCTGGTGGTGCTTGGAGTCCTCGCACGAGACTACGCTTGAATGTATACCCATTAGTTGCATTGAATTAGACGTGGTCCTCCAGGAATTCTAGGGACTGCGGGGTCCCTTCCTGGTAAGGTGGGCTCAATTACTCTCCTGGATGAGATAATATATGGTGCATCAGTCATTTGGGCGCTAATACAGCCTGGTTGGCAGGTTTGGAGGAATTTAGGGCATTCAGGAATACCAGAACTATCCGAAGAGATCCTTCTCGTTTTTCTACGCGTTGGGACCCAGACGCGGCACTCCCCCGTTATAGGATGTTTCGCGGTTCGGTCTACCTGGGCGGACTTGCTGGATCCTCTGCGAGGTACCTTCCAGGCCGAAAGGTCAGGCACTCTTTGCGTTTCCCTTGTTCGAGTCCCTGGATTTCGTGTTCAAGCTAGGAAAAATCGACCCCCTCTACATCTCAAGGAGTAGAGTCCTGGAGGGCGGATTGGATGCAGGGGGTGCCTCCTACGCCTTCCTCTGCCCGAGTTCTCGTATGTTTTGGAATAGTTGTTGGGGAGGACCCTGCGTCAAGACTTTAGCCCACATCAGGCCCCGACCAGTTTCAGCTGGCTGACAGACCCGTTTGCTCAGTGATGGACGCTTCCCTCCTGGGGTGTTCAACACGGAGACGCTGATGAGCCCCCTCCGCCCTGTGTGGTCCCAGGACCTTACTTCACTTGTCCCGGTCTGCTAGTACTTTGGTATTATGGTCTCCGTTTCAGCAGAGTCGAACCTAGTTTCCTGGACTGTAAGACATTTTGTCTGCATGGCGACCCTGGCGTAGTTGGGTCTGGTACGGATTACCAAAAAATTTTGTTGCGAACGCTGTTACAGGGTTCGAGTATTGTTCAGTCACTTTATTACTGGGGACTGTTGTATCATTTAGATTAGGTAGCGCGTATGACTGTTTTCAGCGGGCCTCGCTCTGCTTAGAATTTCCCTTCAGGCAAGACGTGAGGGTTCATAGGGGTGTGAGTCCTTTACGATTCCCGAAGACAGATATTCATCTCCCCAGCGGGTACACGCGTTTTGGTCGTGCTTTAATTGCTGGTTTTGTCGGGTTCTTGTCCATTCACCGACTCTGGATTTCTTTCCTTTATTATACCCTGTTTTTTCTTTCAGATGGGTTCGGATGTTCGGGCCTTAGTAGTCCATCAGCTCTAGTCAGACCCAAGGGTTATATTCTTATCTGGGTTGCGCACCCCACCTTTATGCTGCGCTCGACGTCACCATCTGATTAGACGGTTCTTTTTCACCCTTCATGTACCGCTCGGTTGTTGTGGGCATTGGCAGGGCGTATGTTTCTTTCGGTTCACTTCAGTCAGTTACACGGTGACTTCAGGCGCCAACATGGCGGGCGCATTTTCTCCAAGACATCTCACACTGTTCTGCCGGTTATGAGGAGCTATCTTCGCAAAGTTTAGGTTGGTACGGCGGATCCTGTTTCTTTGGTCTTTGCTGTCTGAGTGTTAAAACAGCAAATATAAAACCTCCTGTCATGTTATAAAATTGTATACTAGCTTTAATGTAACTATAATCTTAATTTTATTAATGACAGGAGGCGAATATTTCCCCCCCAGTTTTTCACCCTACCCTGTTTCCTGGTTGGTTTCTTGGCCTCTGTTAGTCGTTAGCCAATTTTCTCCCAGTTCCAGGTTGAGGTAGGTCTATTATTTGCCTTCCTGAGGGAGGTCAGGGTATGTTTTAAGGATTTTGTTCTGTCATTGTTTATGGGTACTCGTGTTTTTCACAGTACATTTCATTCTAGGTTGTACTGTTTATAATTGATGATGGATATTCAGGTGTTCACAGTTCATTTCATTCACTAATCAGTGTTTTTGACTCTGTTTGTTTCATTTCAGCTTAATGGCTCATCTACTGATCCAGGTTCAAGATTTTCTGCAGGATAAAGTTCAAGATGTATGGTTTGACTAAGGTTCTTGCATCCAGATCTTCTTCAGGATAAAGGTCAAGATTTCATCCACTGGCTCTATGTTACATTTCGGATGACATCATCATCTCAGTCATCGTATTATTATGTTTGTTATTTTCTGTTTCTTATTTTCTTTAGTGGTGTTTCGTTCATGTACTTTATTTGTCACAGCGTGAAAGAGGAAATAGTTGGTTGGGAGGAGCCTTTTATAGATTCCTTACTTTTTTGTCTTTGGTGTTTTTATCTCTATGTTAATGTGCTGCTGTGGAGTTCTAGTAAAGACAGACTTAAGCAAATATTCGCCTCCTGTTATTAATAAAATTAAGATTATAGTTACACTAAAGCTATTATAATCTACAATTATCTTCCATTCCATCTTTTTTTGTTTATGAAAATTTAAATGAAAAAGAGCCTTTTTTGGGTTCAATTCCCATTCAAGTCCAAAGCATTGTATCAACCGTTGGGATATATCATTCCATATGGTTGTTAGTTTTGGACATGCCCATCAAATGTGGACAAAGTCACCTTTTAGCAAGCCACATCGCTAACAATTTGAGGAAACATCTTACTAAGAGTTGAAGGGACTCTATACCAATGATTTATTAATTTAAATTGGACCTCATTAAGGTTCAAACAATGTACTGTTTTATAAAAATTGTCTAAAGACTTTTTCCATTCATTTGTATCGACTTGAATTTAAGGTTTATTTTCCCATTTTTTAATGGCTTATGGAAGAACTTCTTTTTTAGTTTGTCTGATCAACTCTTGACATTTGGCGGTCAGGTGATTATAGTTATCTTGGTTTAAGATCCTATTAAGTATC